ATAAAGAAAGTGCGCGCTGACTTTTGGAAACTTTTGGAAAGCTTCAATACTAAAGAGCTTAGGAAAAGTAAATAAGGAATAGAGGGTGAGTAAAGCAAATCAAAAGGGAACAAGTAAACTATAACAATAAAACATATTCCACTACAACTATCCCTGCAAAAAAAAAAAGACATTATTCTGGGGGCCTTTATTAATCTGTGCAGGGAAAAACAAGACATTATTCTAGGGGGCTTTATTAATCACAGGTCAACATTAGTGTCAGAATGTGGGGATCTTTCACTGTTGCTGTGCCTTGAGAGTATCCTGCAAACATTGACCGCAATCAATAAAGCGGGAATAAACTGGGCACTGGGCACCTTATGAATCTTATGAAACCTTTATATAGATTGATACTTTATGATACTTTGCTTGCTTTCGGGCTCATTTCACAGTTCTACAGGCTAGGGTCAAAGTTCCACAGCACAGCTTTACACATGCACCCAGAAAGTGCCAGCCGAAAGCACGTGTGTTGGCCAACAGTGACAACAACGGCCATGGTTCCTTCCTCCTTTGAAGATTGTCTAGCGATTGTTCAAAAGAGCTCAAGGTATTCCAAGGTCTTCGGAGTCTTGGGGTAGCAGCTAGCATGAAGAAACCTGTTCAATTTAGATTGCAAATTTGTAAACTACCCTGGTCGATCTCCGACGCTCTGCGTGACCTTCTCTTGATTCCTTTTGTCTTTGGTGATGTACTTGCTCACTTCTACGGCACTTGTTCATCCAATGAAATTGTGAAATCCCACCATCAGCGACTGCTTGTGGCCAAATGAGCCGAAGCTAAAGAACCAAAACACCTCCCCTGACCTGCCCCCGACCAAGTGAGCAAAATGAAGAAGCAATTGCCCTTCGTAGAAAGGTAAGTAAGCTATATACCAAGCTTGGAATCTAAAGAGATAGGGAGTTTGACGCATTCGATTGCTGGCCTTGAGAGATTCGCGCAAGCGACCTCCGATAGAGAGAATGGCCAGTGTGCCATCACGGCCCTCGCGGGCAATGCGCCTGGGCGACTTCGACGACTTCGAGAAGGAAGGGAGCGACTACGGTGAACAACATGGTGCGATGTCTTTCAACAGCCACAGTGGCAAGCAAGGACGCTACTAGGGGCTCCTGGCCTTACTATTAGGAGCAAGAAGCTACTAAGGGCTCCTGGCATCGCTACTAGGAGCAAGGACGCTACTAAGGTACTAAGGGCTCCTTTGCCAAGCTTGGCACCCTTTGCCCGGCTCCAAGAAGCGAGGTTCTGGCATCTCAAGATCCCCAAAAGCACTGCCTCGAGGAAACCTCAAAGTAAGCGGATGCAAACCAGTATGTGCATCTCGTGTCAGCACGTACAAAGCTCAAGCAAGAAAACCAGTGACATGTAGACTCCGTGTAGAAATTTGATTCTTAAAAGTGCTTTGCTTCTTCAGGTGGGGCCCTTATTAAAGGTGCCCACGATGGTTTCGAATGTTGGTCTTTCGACGAGCTATTTTTGCTTTTGAAATGAGACAAGAGTACATTCAAAGCAAGTGCAAGCTTAATTCAGAAATTCCGTTGGGGGGGGTCCATGACCTGGGATACTGGGATGGTTCTTGTAGTGCCCAAGCATCAGACCGGAGCGCTGTTGGCGCATCATCAATCTGTGCCAGAGTATGAACCATGTGAATAAGCTCTGCCTGCCAAAGATTGATTATATACAGATCCCTCGCTCCAAACTGAATTCCATTCATTTTATCGCAAATGCAAATGCTGCCGCGGGTAGTGCAACTAAAGCTCAACATTCTACGCAACAGTGAGACTCCATGTCTGCAAGTCTTCTGAGCATCTTCTCTAGCTTCGATGATCAAAAGTATCCACCTCGTCTGCAGATGCGCAAACCATCATCTCAGGAATACAACCTGCAGAAACGTTCTGCGCAAAGTGCAATGGTGGCTTCGTTGGCATCAGTTCCATTCAAAGCGATTGTGTGGACATGTGTAGGCTCAGTATCCCACTCAGGTAAGAGAGATCAAAGGCTCCACAGTGGGTGGCTCCGTCCTGCGATTCTCTGTTTTATCTACAAAGGAGTCCAAAGTCAAAAAAAGAAGTCATGCATGTGCAAAGGTATCAGCATGTCCATCAGTAACTATCAGCAAAGCTATCGAACCCCAGCTGTCCGCCCCGACAAGGCCAGCACGATCGAGGACAAAACGCACAGGCAACTTCTGCAGAGCTACGTCCTTAGTCTTCGATGGAGGTTCTTCAGGCCTTTGAAGATTGGCGTCTCATTGTGGTCTTATTGTCTTGGAGAACATCTATTCATTTCTCACCAATAAGGTCACTGTGTCTTTAAAGCAAACGTATCCTTGTTCAATTTCAATACTGTCGGAAAGCAGCAGTGGCACAACGGTTGAGTGTCTTGTTGGTCTTCCAAACCATGTACAGTAACCGCAATGGTTCACCTTCGAAAACAACTCTTTGCCTAATTGACCTAAAGGTGACAGCTATGTAGCTGAGCAATCGGCCTAGGCAATGACTAATGTATTATCCAGTAGTGATACAACTGGATGGTGGCCAATGATATGTCTGCCATTGCCTTTCTATCATCCTACCCAAGAGTTGATCGCGCACTTTCCTGCCCATTGGACAGGCGCGTGAATCAGTCTTGAACCCACAGGAGTCTACTTCTCAGCGCTGGCGATATTGAACAGTCGTAAACAGAGTTTGCCAATCAGCATAGTTTTCGATCGGAACCCTGTTGGCACAACAGGGCTGGAAGTGATCAAACCTGCAAATAAACTTGGTCTCAGAAACAGGCATGAACAAGCTGGTCATAGGCTCGCTGCAAGAACCTGTAGCGGCTGAAACGAATCTCACTCCATCACTCTTACAGTACAAAAAGAAACTGGAATCAAAGTATTGGGAGTCGAGCGTGGAGTAAATGGCGCAGAATGGCTTGAGACCTGATTTTGTCAAGTCAATACAGCTGCACAGCTTGTACCATACGCTTTGCCGCTTTGCATATTATGTGTTCTCCCTGCCTCCGGCAGCAAGTCCAGCAGCAAACGTGACAGCCTCACTTTGTGCAACAGAGTGTGCTATGAGGCACATCGAATCAAAACACAAGGGAAGCATATTTTCAGTAAGTTGGATTGGATTCGATGTATGTTTAGGCATGGACAGTCAAATTGATGTGTCTCAGATTCACACGTGTTGCTCTGCAATGCCCACGTCGAAGGTCCGTTCCTCAAGCTTTGCGCGATCAAATGTAACAAAGTCTGGCAGAGTGGCGAAGCAATTCTCTTCCTCCTCAGCCTCCTGCTGGACCAAATGTCTTCTCAAAAATTCCGATACCAGTTCCTCCAGGCCTCTTCAGGGGCAAAAGAAGGATGTTTATCTTAGGCGGAACAATGCTAGTCGGGAGCAAGTGGCATTGCCGCAGTGATGGCAACAACTTTCTCATCTCGCCTCAAAAATTAGGATCTAGGTCTTTCCAGTCAAGTAGCATGTGCACTACTAACATATCATACACATATCTATAGACGGAGTGTGTATTATGTATAACTAAAAATAAGATACCTGAGAAAGGAGAGGACGAAAGCCACCGAGAGACCAATATGGTAGTGCAGTAGTGCAAGACTGGGAGGAAAAATAGCGGAACACTTCTTGTTGAATGCCTGTAGCTTTCGTGGAGCTTGTATCAACGTGGAGTAGATCAAGATCGGAGCACAGCATGAAGTGCATCACCAAACACTTTTTCGATGCTTTCCTGACCCTACTTTTGAACGCTCTCCCCCACCAGGCTCAACGTTCGACCTCCCAAAAGTGGCCTCTGCGCGACCACCCCCCCCACACCCCCTTTATTCACTTCCTGGTAAACCTTTTGACCTTCTATCTGGCATCTCTTCTGATATTCTATCTGGCGAATCTTCTGACATTATGTCTGGCATTCTTTCTAGCATATCTTCTGACATTTTCTCGGGCATATCTTCGGACATTCTTTCTGGCATACCTCGTGACAGTCTATCTGGCACATCTTTTGACATTCTATTTAGCAATGTGTGTGGCTGAATGCACTGACGAAAATGGTCCTGGTGAAGGTGCAAGGAACTGCAAAGAACCTGCAGGTTGTTAACTGCGAAGTAACAATACGTGAGCCAACACGAAAAAAACAAGCGCTGCCCGAAATATTATTTTCGTTGTTGTCGGCCATATTTCGGGCATCGTGTTTAAGTCTTCCACACGTGGCCACAGAGAGTTGCTGCTAACGCCCCGCGCTTGCTCGCTACGAATCCTCAGAGATGCAGCCTGCTAAAGCTTGCCCAGAAATGCCCCTGATCTGTGCATGCCCCAGATCTAAGCAAAACAATCAGGCTCCGTATAGAGATACACAATGAATGCCCGAAGGACATCCTTTTTCGATTGATTTTCATTGATTTTCATCCGTTTTAATAGTTTTCGATTGATTTTTCATGTTTTTCATTGATTTTGATCCATTTTTGTTCTTTTTGATAGGTTTTGATTGTTTTGAACATGACAGAGGTAGGTGTGGCTGGGACAGAGTGTGGAGGGCGCTGATTCGAACCAATTCCTATCTCCTCCGATTCTGCCAGCATGAGCGGGGCCAAAACCTTGCCCGGAGTGAAGTTAGTACCTGTCTGTTGCGGTAAATGTTTTAGGCATCGTGTTGAACGCTTCCACGTGTCCCGCCTTGAGTTCACCCTCGCCCAACTGGACATACTCACGTCGTTCGCCCAGAGCGTTCACTCTTTGTTGCTTGGTCCTTCTTGGTATGATCAGAGCTACACAGTCCCTATGCCCTGCTCAGGACTAGAAAAATTGTCTCCAGACCCCTTCATGATGCTAATGATGCACTACTCGGCGTCATTTACATCACTTGCATCACCAAACCACTTTTTCGATGCTTTCCTGACCCTACTTTTGAACGCTCTCCCCCACCAGGCTCAACACCCCCTTTGTTCACTTCGTTCACCCCGAAAACTCAAGCCTTGCCTATCGGCTGGCTTTCGTGATATTAGATATATGTGAGTATTTTCCCAATTCTGCATAGCACGATCATTGTTGTACATCGAAACACGTAAATATTGCAATTGGTTGCTTCTACACAAGCTGCAAAACGTTGATCAAACTGCACAAAAGCAACTTAAGCTCAGAACTGCCCCTCACGGACCAGCTGATCAGCAAATACTTTGGTCAATGGTGGTTGCTTCTTCTTTGGCCTCAACTGCAACTGGCCACACAAAAAGCTTGTGCACGCCGCACGAATACTGTTTTCGGTACAAAGATGTACAAAGCATTAAAGAATGCTGGGCATCCCTTCACTTCGTCAGGGGTCTTTGGCACCTCGAAGACACAACTCTGACACCCTGCAAAAGTGAAAAGGGAGGTTGCAAAGGCAAAAGTAGGGAGAACGAGTGTAGGATATTATAAGTTATAAGAGGCTGACATTGAACTTTGGCTGGACAGCATGAAGCTTGTCACTCGCCTGAGAAGGTGATTGGAAAGTGGCAAGCCAGTATTGAAGCTGTGAAGCATGGCCTTTTGTGCTGGCTCATAGCCATAGCCTTTTTTGGTCCTGAAGGAAGCGATGAGAGGGGAGGACAAAATTCAATCTCGGTGAGGATGTTGTGAGTACGCAGTCTGTTAGAGACATATCACATGTCTGTCTTGATATGAAGAAACACCGGTTTCTGGAGAAGGCCATCTTCGTGATCTTGGCGAATGTTCTCAAGGACCTTCACGGACAAGGAAGGAGCAAGCACAGCCCCGCAATTCAACAAATCAGGTTTTGGCCTGCACCAAAGTGTCCATATCATGACCGTCAATAGGGCCGACCTAAGCGTATAGTTTCAAAGTGCTCACTAGAACAAAGGCTGCGATACATTCGAAGCAGTTCTGGTCGGCTACGCAGCTACTAAGTCCCGGCATAGTAAAAGCCCAACTGCTCAAACAGCTCTCCACGACCTTAGCGTTTACAGGCACCTTATCGCTATTAGGTTGGAGGCCATCGCTAGTAGGTTGGAGGCCATTACTACTAGTAACAAGAAGCTACTAGTAGCTAGAAGCACTTGCAGGCATCACTCAAACAGGCACCCACAGGGCCGATCTTCCCACACTCTCGGTGTCGCTCTTGGCTTCATTGAAGGCTTCTTCAGTCATTCTGGGATTGTCTGTGCTTCCACCATCTTCCAACTTAGCCAAGTGCTCCCTGAGCCACTTCCACGGAATGGTACTGTTTTGACGAAGTCTCGTGTGTACCTCGCTGAAT